TCATTATAGTTGTGCTTTTAAAGTTGTAGCAACGTTTCGGCAGAATCTCATCTGCCATCATCAGGCTTCTGTCTGACGAACACAATACAGAAGCCCCAAATTTAAATCTGAAACCACTGTAAAAGTCTGACTCACAGACAAACACTATACAGAAGCCTGATGATGGCAGATGAGATTCTGCTGAAACGTTGCTACAACTTTAAAAGCACAACTACAATGACATGGGAAAATACCCGAACAAAGCTGAATACGTTTTGTGTTCTGGGGAACAGAATGTGAATGTTTCAGTGTTCTCTATAGAGAACAATAGAAAATTGAAATGTATTCCCTGGTGCTTTTTAGGACTACAAAAATAGGATTTATAGCTATTATTCAACCTATAAAAAAATTGGCCATGGAGATTATTTCTGAAAAATCAAAGCTACAGTTGAGACACATTTTCAGTGTGGTATATCTATAAAAGAGAGACTGAAGTAAACCAATCAAGAACAAACAACAATAGATTCACAACCCATAAACAATATGGAGGTTATCTATATCTGAATATTTCATTGATAGTTCTACAACTTTTTGTACCTTCCCAGATTATTTATTCTCTTTCTACTTTTTAAGACAGACTACCGGACCTTCTGGCTCAGTGGCTAAGACACTGAGCTTGTCGACCAGGAAGATCATCAGTTCAGCAGTTCAAATCCCTAGCACTGAGTAACAGAGTGAGCTCCCATTACTTGTCCCAGCTTCTGCTAACCTAGCAGTTTGAACGCATGTAAAAATGCAAGTAGAAAAATAGGGACTACTTTGGTGGGAAGATAGCAGCATTCTGTGTGCCTTCAGCATTTAGTCATGCCAGTCACTTGACCACAGAGACTGCTGGCTTGGACAGCTCTGGCTCTTCAGCTTTGAAATGGAAATGAGCACTCCCCCCTAGAGCCGGAAGCAACTAGCACATATGTGCAATGAGAACTTTTACCTTTACATTACCCCAATATTTTACGTAACTCCAGTTCTAATATCTTGATGGTTCAATTGTTTCTATCAAGAAGTTCTTTACCTCTTCTATAACCTCTACTATTCCAAATGCTCTGCACTGCAAGAATTTCTTCTGTTCTGCTTCTGACTCCTTCCAGCTACAGACTTGCACAACTTAACGTTCAAGTTAACTACTACCTTGACCTTCTCGCAAGCCTTTTGCTACTTGCAGCAGACTTTATTATTTTTCAATTTTATGATACCTTTTTGGGTTACACCAGTTCAGCCTGAAAAGGAAAGGACAACACATTTGAAGACAATGTTACAACTGTTGAATCCTAAGTTCCCCATAGTTAATTTCAAGGGCAGTCCTGGCCACAAAAATCATTAAGCAATAGTACTATAGCACCCCCTGATGGGACATAGAATGATTAGCTCTCATCAAAATGAAGGAAATGAGATGAAAATATGTCCAACTCTAACAAGACAACATAGAATATGTCCCAAAATTTGGGATTTAGTACACACAAAACATAACTTCATAAATTCAATTCTTCCTAATTTGCTTTATTTCTGTAAAAAAAAATATTTCCAATTTATAAATGGGCTGGAAGCCTCTGAGAATTGGGTGGCAGCAATGACTGGTGACCCATCTCATTTTATTACGTTTTTATGACAAGTGAATAAAATGAAAGATGCTTCAGAAACCCATGATATTTTCATTTCTTTTACTCATCAGCCAAGTATTTTTCTTTTTGTCTCTTGTTATAACCATATAAATACATAGCACTGGATAGATTTTGTAATAACTCCAAACCAATGTTGCCGCAGTTTGTGAAAATACAGCTTCCATGGAATATATGTAAATCACTTCCAGACAAAAGCCCTCTTCAGGCAAGCTTAAATCTTCTTTGCTCATGTGCAGCAGAACTGGCCTCGGGAAATCATTGTATTGTCTTCTTTTCTAAACAATTTTGGAAGTAGAAAATTCTTGGCTTTAGCACAGTAACAGATGATACTTCTGCAACCAAAGAATTGGATTGATTATAGTGAGATTTAAGATTGATAATAGATAGATCTATGTTATGACATCCATTGTTTTAGTGCTTGGTGATAGAAGAATGCTTTCTTAAATGGATCATTGTATAAAATATTGACCTCAAGGACTTCATTATTCAAGTTGGTGAGACAGCCACTACTTAACAGTAATAAACTGTTTCTCTGTTACATTGAGAATACTTCAGAAAATATAAGAGTTGTCAAATATCCTGAAAATCCTGTCTTTATAGTACACATGACACTAAAGCTATCGCAGTATTTCCTGCTAATAAAAGCTGGATGTGAAGGATATCACATGAGCTGACAAGAAACTAAGAAAAATGATACTTGGGTCCAAGGAAAGAAAGACACAGGCCAATGACCTTGGGAAGTTTTACTAGATATAGTTGTTTCTGCTGTGGAGGAAAAATAACTTGGTAATGTCACAATGACATGAAACTAAATATATACATTTCAGAACAATATTAAACTATATAAATGCATGCTTTTGAGATTAAATTATACTGAATAGTCAAGAGTCATGGTCATATTTCTTTAAAAATGGGAATGATCTTTAAAGGGAACTATTGTAAATTGTCATTTTTGGCTTAATCAGCTCATACCTATAAGTACATTTTCTTACAATAATTCTGTTCTTCCATTCATGTAAACAACAATTAAGTAGAAATCTTCTAATTTAATTATTCTTTCCCATTTTCACTAAAATGAAAATTAGGGTTCCAGCATTGGAATGAGACAAAGTATGAAACTAATGCCAAATCCTTATATACAAAACCAGAAAGTATAGTTAAATGAATATTTATTAGGTTGCTTAGGGGAAGAGCAGACTGTGTGTAAAGCCAAAAGACTTACCCAAATTCCAGTAACTTGAATTGAGATGCCATTGTTCAACATAATCTGAATGAAAGATCAAAAAGCTTTATATTTCAGACTTTGAAAGCACTAAGGGTACAATTCATTAGGAAAATTATACTCTTTATGAAATGATGGAAACTGCCTCAAACAGGACTCTTACATAACTCCATTAGACAAGGTAATGTCTCACTCAAGAAAAACTTGACTCCTGGTGGGACTATGGACCTATCTACCTAATCCCCTTGGAGGTGTGCTGAAATGATTTGTTGTGGTATTTTCCTAAGGTCATTTCTTCACTTCACTTCATTTCCTAGTTCCTTCTTAAAATCCCCACACACCAAATAATTATTAACTAGGTCCAATTCTATTTAACTATTAAGGTCACACAAGGTCATCGAAGCTCTGCTATGTACTAAGATAGCTGCATAAATCTAGCACAGAAAAAAATGGAATTGGATCCTACCTTATGTTATTAAGATTTTAAGAAATTTGCATTTTGCCAGGTTATTGTTTGGGTTTTGAGCCACGTTTTTCCTTTAATTATCAAATAGTATGCAAATAGAATATCAAATAGAATGGGAGGTAATAGTCTTGAGGATTTTTAAATAATGCATTTAGAGGTATAAAATTCAGTATGAAATCTTGTACTAAGGTAACATTTAAAATGTTCACTTAATTTTTATTCCGCTATCTAGTTCGGAAATCTACATGAAAGACATTCGTTATGCTTATTGATATTATATCAAGTCTATACGTAAAGGGAATACAACAATAAGTGGAAATAAGTGACTGTGTATATATGATCGATAGTTTGCTCATTAGTTTCTGAATAATGTAAAGTGAGCTTTAGAACTTTATAGCATGAATTTAATTGCCTGAAATTATGACTTAAGACTATCTGCATATATACTATTACTTTCTCATAGGACTAGACATTCAACTGATCTAGATTAAGCATGTTGAAGCAACCAGAGAAACATAATTATGATAAATACCTTGTTTTATTTAATATTTCTAATGTGATTAAAAAACCCTTCCTGATTAGAAAGGGGTATTGTACTTCCCTTGCTTAAAATAACGGCTGTGGCAGAGTGAAGTAGTTAGTTAGAAGAAAGTGGTTGGATCTGTGCCAAGGATGGGGATTTTTTTTTTAATGGAAGGCAAATGACTCAGCACAAGACTAAGACCAAATAGGCAAAAAAGGGGGAAAGCACTTGTAACACAGCGTATACATGCATTAGATATAGTGTATTAAAAAAAAGCAGGAGGGTATATATTATATAATTTATATTTAAGAACTAGAATACATCATACTCTTTATATGCCTTGTACACCTTTGACTTCTCACCAAGCCATGCAACAAACACCATCATAAAGTTTGCGGACGACACGACCATGATTGGTCTCATCTCCGGAGAGGATGACATGGCATATAGGGCAGAAGTAGAGAACCTGTCTATCTGGTGTTCACAGAACAATCTGTCACTGAATGTCCATAAAACCAAAGAACTGATTATGGACTTCAGGAAACATGGACAGGACCACACCCCAGTCATCATTAACGGAGAAGGAGTGGAAACTGTCCCTACGATCAGATTCCTTGGCATCCATATTTCAGCTGATATCTCCTGGTCCCCTAATACCAAGGCCATAGTGAAGAAGGCTCAGCAGCGGCTGCACTTCCTGTGGGTTCTCAGGAAGAACAATCTGGATAAGAAGCTGTTGCTGGATTTCTATAAAGCGTCTGTGGAGAGCACTCTGACATATTGTCTGGGTGTGTGGTATGCAGGCTCCAGAGTTGAGGACAGGAAAACTGTACAGAGGGTGATAAACACAGCTCAAAAGACCATTGGTTGCCCTCTGCCCTCCCTGGAAGATTTAGCCAGGTCCCACTGCCAAAGCAGAATCAAGGCCATTATAGAAGACCCCTCACACCCTGGCAATTATCTTTTTGACCTGCTGCCATCTGGACAGCGTTTTAGGTCAATAAAATCCCACACCACTAGACTAACAAATAGTTTCTTTCCCTGGGCCATCCGAACCACAAATAAACACAAAGTCACTACCTTATTAAGATGTGAAAAGATGTGAAATCTCAATACCCCATTCAGATGTAT